CCCTCCAGCTTCCAGCAACTCACAGCAGACCAGAAGAAATCCTACCATCACCAACCGTAGTCCTAGACAGCAGAGATGGACCACATGTGGCAGCAGGACAGGAATGAAGGAGACATGACCAGCACAGTGTTCGTGATGGAAACAAAGGTGTGTACTCTCCGTGTGGATAAAGAGTACACACCTTGTTTTCCACCTCACCCAGCACCACATCTTTTAAATAATTCAGCCGCGCATCTCTCCTTACATTGACATGGAAACAGTCCATTATGCAGCAGTGCAGCAGCTGAAACCTGATGCTATGTCAAGGGCATTTAATGACAGAAATATCATTCTTTCTTTTCCCATGTTTTCTGATCATTATAGCTCTTTAAATCATTATCATTATAGCTTTAAATCTCCTCTTCTACCTACATACCTCCATCATCTCTTCATCTTATTACCGTCTCACCGTCTGTGGAATCTGATCTCCTCCTCTTTAGGTTTCTGCTGGGAGGGGAGCAAAGGAAAATCATATATTTGTAAATGGCAGGGAAGTTTGCCCACTTCTTATGGATATGGTCCTGTCAGTAAAGAGAATAAATACAACCAAATGAGTATTAGCCCATGTTCTGCAGGCACAGAAATCGCACACTTTTCAAAACTTTACATTACACTAATATATATACTAGTATATATATATATACTAATATACTAGTATATATATATACTAGTATATTAGTATATATGTATACTAGTATATATATTCCCATTCTTGCTCTTTAAGTTAAGCCACATTTTACATACTAGATCTCTGATGTGTTGCAATCTGTGACCAACAACATAGAAAGTTAAGTATGTACCAGAGCATATTTCTGTGCTTCTCTAGTTGTGACTTTGCTTGATCCAATATTTGGTTCAGATATTGGTCCAATATACCTCAAATCCTCTAACTATGGGCCAATCAGTGGGGTCGATCTGTTCAGTTCAGTTCTGTCCTGCTCTATATTTACTTAACCTCTGTCAGCAGCGTAGCTTGAAGGAAGCTAACAGTAGAAGTCAACGAGCGGGTGGAGCGGGTTTCCATGGCCACACAGCTTACATCAACAAGTGCAATGCAAATCTATGGAGGCAGTGGTGTAAAGAATGTCCCCACTGTTGAGTGACGAGTCTGGGTTTGGTTGTTGTCGTGAAAACTGTACTTGTCTGACTGCATTGTGTAAAGTTTGGTGGAGGGGGATTATGGTGTGGGAAAGGAACTTTACATGCTTCAGCATTACAAGACATTTTGGACAATTTCATGTTCCCAACTTTGTGGGAACAGTTTGGGAATGGCTCCTTCCTGTTCCAACATGACTGCACTCGTCCATAAAGACTTGGATGAATGAGTTTGGAAGAACTTGACTGGCCTGCACAGAGTCCTAACCTCAGGCTTCCATAACATGAATTAGAGTGGAGACTGTAAGCCAGGCCTCATTCAAGATCAGTGCCTAACCTCACGAATCTGCTCTTGGAAAAGTTGTCAAAAATTCCCATTAACACACTTCTAAACCTTTTGGAAAGCCTTCCCAGCAGAGCTGTTATAGCTGCTAACAGTGAGCCAACTTCATATTGCACCCTATGGACTGAGAATGGGATGTCACTCAAGTTTATATGCTTCTGAAGGCAATAAGAGAAAATACTTGTGGCAATAGAGTACATCTTCATTTTACCTATGATTGGTGAAGGGTGGTGGAAGTATGGTACACTGGTACTATACACAGTTTCTACAGTATGTCAGTGTGTTTTGTCTCTATGGTATTTCAGGTGTTTGCCACATTTTTATTCTTACAGCTCCGTACAGACTCTTCTTCTGCAGTTTAGTAAGCCTGTAAAGGTCTCAGCAGTTTTCCTGTACCATAAACAATAAACCGTGCACATAGGTTGAACTGCTGCTGTCCTCATTTCTTTTTCACATCAGTATTATAAACAGGAAGATATTTACATTTGGTTGTTTTGTCCTTTAACTGCTACATCGTGGAGCTCATAAGTATATTGGCTCCTACATGAACAGCCACCCTGCACCGGTATATCCTGTGTTGCTCCTCACTCACGCAGTTAAATGATCGTTACTGCTTCCTGGTTCATTCTGCAGGCTTGTACTGAAGCCTGGTTAATGCTTATTTGAGACAAGACTTGGCAGATGTCATCATTTATATGATTATCTTTCATTGCTGACTGAAGTCAGAGGCAAAACTCTTGCAATTGTTCTGTAGAAAACAACAAAAAAGAATAAAAATGTTCATGGACTATTGTCAGACGCAGGATGGGTGTGGAAAGGAAATGATCTCCAAGGGCTCATTAAGACCCATGGATAATCCAGTCAGGCCTAAATATTTGTTTAGATCAGCACAGAGCACAATAAGGAAGAGAATTCAAAATGTCAAAACAATTATTGTGGTTGACAGTTTGTGTGCATGTACACATGCATGGACATGGTGACCTGAGACTTGTCTCCACAGTGTGTCCTTCGTAAACCTGTAAACCAAGTAAACCTGATGATGGCAATAACTGATTGGCTGTGAAAGCAACAAGTGATCAAGTAATCATGACATGTGATTGCTATAGAGAGTTAGCAAATTCCAACAATTATAATTTATTTAATAATTAATCTTCTCCTCATTTCTTGAAAACAGTGGATGTGTGGTATAAGACGCCATGAAAGACTTCCTCAGTGCCGTAGTTAACATATTCAGTTCACAACAACAAACAAATCAGTTCAATAGGACAGATCATTAGAAGGAATCACAGAATACAGACAGACGTTTGGTGGTTAGACGCCGATGGTCTGTCTCGGCAAAACAGGACCCCAGCTGTAAAAAGGATTAGGGGAGGACCCCCTGGAGCCTAGACGCCGTTGGTGGAGATGAAGGTGGCTTGAATGGAGCTTGAGTGATGAGATGGGGAGGTGGTGGGTAGCACAAAGACGCAGAGAGATTTAAAGTACGTGGCATGAATGGAAGTGATGAAGCTCAGATTTAGCCGGCAGCACCTTGGAGCCAGTGTTGCCAACTCCTCAGTAAGGAAAATTGCTATTGGCTGTCCTAAAAGTCGCTAGAAG